TTCTTAAACCTATAACTCCCACATAAATGGCACCCGTATTAATGAGTATTAGGCCTTTCACTTGCCCTTAAGTTGTGAGATTTTCACCTATAAATAGGCCCCAATATATACACATTTTTCACACCAAGATAAAAGTTTCTAAACATAAAAGAGAGAGTTTTCAAGTCTAGAAAAAAGAGAAAGGAGAGAGAGGAAAATTAGTTTTTCCTCCCTCTTTTGGTACTATCAAGAAGTGTTTTCCAAACATCAATTCTCAATGGAGTGTTTTTTTTTTTGAAATATCGAAGGAGTGCATTTTTCAACAAGGTTCAAAGCATCAATCAAGTAGGCAGAGGTGCAAAGTGTTAATTCGTGTTAAGTCATAGGTTTCTAACAAATAAAGATTTATGTTAATGTTTGTATGTCTAATGGTACTTCCGGTACGGTATACACCTCCATGTCTAATGTTACCTCCGGGTACGGCATGTACTTTCGGTCGAGGCGTCATCTTAAGTCATGACTCTACGTGTTTGTGATTCTACCGAAAATCCTACTATGAAAAGGTTTCTAAACTTACAGCTTTGAAATGTATAGCTTGATCACGAATGCACCAATGATATCTATTGAGTTTTTTAACTCACAGATTTAACCCCATCTCTACAGATTGATATGATTCTACCTTGGGCCTGGATGATGAAAAAGATGGAGAGTGGTGCAACGAGCCCATGGAAAACTCGGTGAACAAGTTATTTAGATTTATTTTTGTGAACGTTTTTAATGTTATTTTTTTAAAGTATTTGAATAACGTTGAACGCGAGAACAAGTTGTGTTTTCTTCAAATAAATTACGTTCCGTTATTTTTTTATTCTGTGTTTTATTTAAAGTATTCGAAAGGTTGTTGTTAAAATTATCATTGTAAAAATTAAGCTACCGCTAAAACATATTCTCCTATAACTAAACCACCGGTTAGTTAAGTAAAGTAAGTAGCATTTCGGTCCATAAGGGGTCGGTGCGTTACACTACCTGTCCACACTTCCTCAGGTGTCCTACCATCTAATGCACTAGTTGGGGTCCTATTTATGATATAAACTAATGCCATAACAGCCCCCCCACAACACTTTAGGGACACCTGAACTGAACATCATACATCTAACCTTGTTTAGGATTGTCCTATTCATCCTTTCAGCTATACCATTCTGTTGTGGAGTATATGGTACTGTTTTATGTCTCCGAATGCCATCATCCATACACAATTTTGCAAAATCAGCATTACAAAATTCTAATCCATTATCTGTCCTTAGAATTTTAATCTTTTTATCCATTTGATTTTCAATCAAAGTTTTTCAAGTTTTAAATTTTCCAAAAGTGTTTGATTTTTGTTTCAAAAGAAATACCCATACTTTTCTTGAAAAATCATCAATTAAGGATAAAAAATACATATTCCCACCTTGAGAGGTGATGGATAATGGACCCCACAAATCAGAATGTATATACTTTAGGATAGATATAGTCTTATGTTTCCCTGTATTAAAGTGAAGTCTATGTTGTTTGCCTAAGGTATAACATTCACAAAAAGGGAATTTTAGAAATCATATCACTACCAAAAGCACCCTTCTGACTTAAGATGTGTAAGCTTTTCTCACTCACATGGGCTAACCTATTATACAATTTCAATGTAGCATTACTCTCAGCCATAGAGGATTCTGCAGTGTGACTTAAAATATTAGCCTTAGTGACATAGATACCATTTCTTTTAATACCCTTAAAAATAACTAAGGATCCTTTAACTATTTTCAAGAAACCATCTCCAATTTTTCCTTGGAGACCTATGTCATCTGAGTTCCTAACTGAAATCAGATTTCTATTTAAATATGGTACATACCTCACCCTTTCCAAGGTAAAGGTGTACCCATTATCAAATTTTAAAGTCACACTGCCTATCCCCAACACTTTACAGGCTGCATTGTTACCTATAACAACCTCACCTCCATCTAAGTCCTTAAAATCAAGCAACCAATATTTTCTAAAGGTCATATAAAAGGTACAACCTGAATCTAAGATCTACTCTACACTCTGACTTGAATTATCTGCATAATTTGCAGAGTTCAAATCAGATGAGGACTCAGTCACAACATAGACATCAACAGTACCCTCACCTAGAGGCTCAACAATATTTCATTCATCAATTTTTAACCTCTCTTTGCTCATTTTTCCTTTTAAAAAGTCTTTGATGTAATGCCCTGTTTTTCCACAACCATAACATTTTCTAGCACAATTTCTAGACTTTGACCTTTGTCTACCTTTTCCCTTCTTCCTAAAGGCATTATTTTCCTGATTACTTTGGTTACCCTGATTATTACTAGATCTGGTCGGTGATCTACCTCTTACAAATAGGTTCTCACTTTCCTTGCCATGTCTTTCACATCTAACTTTCAAATCTTTGCTTCTTAAAGCATCAATCACTATCTCAGGTGTTAAAGACTCTCTACCATACTTAATAGCTGTCTTAACATCTTTATACACATCAGGTATGAAATTTAACAAAATTACAACCTTATATTCTTCAGATACTTTATCCCCAGCATTAGTTATATCTTGTACCAGTTTATTAAAAGTGTCAAGATTATCATCTAAGTCTCGGGACATTTCAATTTTGAAGCTAAAAATTTTTTCCAACAGAAATACTTTATTTGACAATGATTTTACCAAATAAACCTCCTCAAATTTATCTCATAAGGCTTTTGCATTATCCAATTTCCCAACCTTTCTTAATACTGGATCAGACAAATGACTGGATTAGACAAGTGAAGATTAATGAAAATATAGGCAAGATTATCAGATTCAGTCTTTTGTTCATCAGTCATAGTATCAGGATATTCACCAGTTATAGCTTTAGACACTTTCTGTTGAACAAGAACCCCTCTCATTTTTTGCTGCCAAATGGGGAAATCCCCTTTTCCATTAAAAACCCCAAGTTCAAATGTTCCTGTTATCATTTGAAGTTTTTAATCAACTCAAGAAAAGCTTTTGAGGGTTAAAGTTCAGCCAGATCACACACAGTATAAAAAAAATCAGGGGATATAACTCAGTGAACAGTAACAAAAATAGTAACCAATCAGAGGAATAAACAACCACTTCAGAATGCAGTGTTGTGTCTTGGGTTCACCAGGATTCCGTGAGGCTTAAAGACCTCAGGTCAAGGCTCAACCCAAAGTACACAGTAGTGCAGTGCAAAGTGTACAGGATTAAAGACAAATTGTCAATTAACAATCACAAAGATTAACATGTAGACTACAGGGATCAAGAATTAATCACAAAGATTAATCAATAGACTTTATATTGAAATCAGGAATTAATCACAAAGTTTAAAATCATGCAGAACATTTTGAATTAAAAGTATATCTGCAATATTCCAAAATTTCAAAACACGTTCAATGCCAGAAATACACCAATTCACGACACTCAGCAGTAAATCATGTATTTCAATTAAAAAACCTTAAGAGAGTTAGAAAATTGGACCGACAGATCGAGTATCACGCAGGAGGCCCAATTACTTTCAAGCCACTTCACCAAGAAGAATTCTAGACTCAATGTTTTTTGCAAGAACCGCCAACAACAATGTTAGTTCACCAAGAAAAAAATACAAGAAACCGTAAATCGAATCAAGATCCGTAGCCGAACAGATCTAGGGTTTCAGCCGATTGTTTGTCTCCCAAAAATCCGATCGTGAAAATTAATTTCGCACGACCAGTCGTCGGAGATAGGGACTGGAACGGCCTAAAGAGGCTCTGTTACCACTATTACAAAAAAAGACCTAAAATCGACTGAACAAATGACCGAAAACTCTCAGACCAAATGCATCAAGTTTATCATCGATTTGGGCTCAGATCACGCATTATACCCGTCTGTACAATGTGAAAACTCATAAACCACAGCCCCAAATCACAAACACAGAGGCAGTCGCTTCAATGGACCCAAATCACTCAAACACGAACGGGAAACTCTCCGCAAATCACAGCCGAAGAATCACTAAGACTCTAAGCACACACAGTGGTCAAAAAATCAGTGGTTTAATGGCTAAATCACCAGATTCTTGAAGAAGGAGAAGAGGCAGAAGACGCAAAGTCACGAAGAGAGAGACCCAAAAGGTTCCACAGAAATATCACGAAGAGGCAGAGAAAGAGTGACTCGAATTAGGGCCAAACAGACTCAGACCTCGTTCATATCATAATGGGTCATCACCATAGATGTTAGGTCAAGTAGATCAAAGGATCCAGAGCGACACACGTAGGTTATTAGGTTTGGGCAGGGTTTCAGCTGCTTTCAACATTGAATTATTGGGCAATGGGCTGGGTAGTATCTGTTGGACCAATTATATCATCATTACCCAAATGGGCTGGACACACAACTATATTTGGCATCACAGCCCAATACCTTCTCTATTTTTTCATATTTATTGCAAATCGCAGAATCTAGCTGCCATCGGCTTTCATCTTCTTTATGTGGAGAATTTTCTAAATAATAGTGAGTTCATGTATCGTGAATAATGAATATGTTCTCTGAAAGAGTAGGCGAGGGATCTTGGCCCTATTTGTTGTGTAATTTTGCAAGATGTTTAGATGAAAACGGCTCAGTTGACTTCCCCATCTTTATTTTGGTTTAAACACATCAATATGACAATTATGTGAAGTGTACAAGGGATGTGTTGAAAATTATGCTCTAAAATGATGAAAATTGTCTAGATGTTAAGTGGGATCTACACGTCTAATTGTTATGAAATTACGTTGTTTCTCAACTTGGTGTTCCACAAAAATTCGAAATGATGTATTTTTCGCGAGGGTTAAAAGATAATTCTTAACATGAACTTGGATGTTTCCGGGGATTAAAGATCGTAATCTATTGATGACTAATATTCTATTGACATATTGATGATGAATTATAATAAAATGTAAATAAAATTCTATCACTGAGTCTAGTAATGTACTGACGTAGCACGATTGTTATTTTTCTCACCCATATCAAATTCTTTAGTTACTCGATCTAGGATTTATCGCTCCTTTATCGCGTCTTCTGTTATATATTTATATCACTCGAAGACGAAAAATCGTGTCTTCAGGATTTAATCTCTCTGGGATTTGGTTCAGCGCTTCAGAAATTCCTCTTTGGCCACGAAAATCGTTTCTTTTTTATTTCACTCATTAATTATATTCCATTTCCCCCCAATTTCTAGATTGGATTTACGCATTAATTTTCAATTCATTTCCAATCTACTAAAGAATACATTTTCAATTCAGTGAATCGAAAAGGAAATATGAATTTTCTTTGTCAAATTCAGACCCGTTTGAGTTTCACCTCCAAGCCTACCCGCAGAAATTAGGATTCCGATTTTTTGACATCCTCTACGTGAAGTCAACAAAGTTTTATTTTTTTTTTCTTGAATTGTTTTGGGGATTTTACAGAAAAATCAACAAAGTCATGTTCTATGGTAAGGTGGTGTGGGATCCATTTCTAATAGTTGCACAAATCGTTTGCCTACAATGTTTATACTATCTGACACTCGGAGTATTTTTGGCCCTTCTTGTTGGGACGAGGGTTTCTAAAATGAGCCTGGTTTATTTCTTTGATTATGCTATTGTTACTGCATCTACAGTTACTGGGTGGTGCGTCATTGCCTCAATATTTCTCAGTTGCGTTGCTGGGTAAGATTTACGATTGTGCCAATTTTTGTTCTTCTTTTGCGATGCAATAAATTTGATGAGTCTGTTGATAATTAATGTGGTTGTTTAAGTGTTCTTGAAATAATGATTAAAAGGTTCTCTGTATGTTTGTGAATTTCAAATTTATTTTTTATTTATATTTATTTTGTTAAATATCTGTGGCGTGGAGATTGAACTGTGAAATTTTTAAAAGCGGAATGCTTGAGTTACTTTAGTAATTTTGCTTAGAGTATTGTGCGTTAATCTGGTTTAAATTTGAAAGATATGATTGTCAATGAGATTTTTCTTGCTGATTTTATTTTCTTTCTTCCGAAAAGGAAAGATTGATGAATTCTTATAATCTTACAAAAGTTCTTGGCACAAATTATGAACAATACCCTGACCTGGTGGGATAATAACTATGAATAAATTAATTCATATGCTACTAGAACAAATATTTAGCGGCAAATAACACATAATGATAAGACATAAACGTGAGAGAGTGTCTCAGAATCTTGGCTTCTGTTTTCTTTTTTATAATTTTTTATACAGTAATGAATATTGAGGTTAGTGGTGTTGAACTTGTAGGAAGGAATAAGGAATATGGATGAAGATAGTAACTCCATGTGGATCTAGGGTAGCTAACTGCATTAGGACCTAATAAGGAAACCTGTTGGTACAGCAAGAAAGTTAGTTGACATCTGTGATGCGCTGGTGCATGTGTTCTTTCCTTAAATGTAATTTTCAAATTTTTGACACGCAACGGATATGTGTCTGACATGCCACGTTAGAAATTTCCTGGCATGTTAGAAATTTCTAACATGCCAGGAACTCGGCCCCAAGACATTAGAGACGCAAGAAGTTCTATTTTGTCAATTTTGGGTTGTAAAATCAGTGAAGTCTGTAATTATGAAGATATGTATGTGAAAAGGCAAAAATAATGTGAAAGAAAACTTCATGTCAAATTTGTTTTATGTATACTATATGGACTTTTTGAGTACATGAATATTTTATTTCATTTGCACTAACAAAGTTCTGGTAAGTTATCTTATTGTAACGAAATGGCGAATAGTTCCTGTACAAATTGTAGAGATATAGCCCCCATTTGGTTCTGATTTTTCACCACAAAAAAATCAATTTTTTTACCGTTACTTAACATGGTCAACTTTCATTTTTTATTTTTCACTCACAGGTGGGATTTACTTTTTTATCTAACGGTCAAAAAATCAATTCTCATAATCACTACCGAATATGCTGATTTATGAATCATTCTATGAGATTGTGGCCCTGGAAATGGGTGATTGAAAAAAGATTAAGGTACATGTTAAAGAACTGTAGAAATGGTTTGATTTATTAGGACCTCTACCAGATACTAGATCGATAGAACAAGAAGACAGGGAAGTTCTTATTTTTTATGGGGGACTATATCAAACAATTGAATGATAGTATTGATTTCAAATATCATGGTTGTTAAGTTGTCATTAATTTTAGACAGTTATGCTTATTGTTCAGTCTATATGAAAGTTAAGGATCAATCTATCGTGATGGAGCTTATGTGGAAAATTCTCGTAGAAAATAAGCTTTGTACGTAAAGCTGTTCGGGATTTGTAAATAGAAAATCTCTGGTGCTTGGACAAAAAGACCCCTCCCCCCACCAAATAATAATAATAATAATAAATAAATAAATAATAGAGAAAAAAAACACACCTGGTACAGAGGAAGGGGGAACGGGTAACTTTATAGTGTGGTTCTGTTTTCCTGAATGTGATTGTTTTAACATGGACATTTTACCTTTAAAATGTAATGCATATGCAATTCACACGTGCTGAATTTCCACCCAATGAATGTTGATAGTCGTGACTCATAGATTTAAACAAGCTTGGACTTGGTATAACTTCTTAAATGATATGTCTAATCCTTTTCTCCATTTAAATATGGTAACAGGGCTGTTTATTTAGTCTATTTGATTGAAAGGGCGAAGAAGTGCCTAGATTTCTCAGCCACCCTTTATATCATCCACCTTTTCATTTGTATCATATATGGAGGCTGGCCTTCATCAATAACATGGTGGGTAGTGAACATTACCGCCTTTACAGTGATGGCATTCTTAGGTTACTGTTTGTGCATGAAACGGGAAATGCGCGAAATTCCTACTTCAAGATCCCGTTCAAGTAAGATCCTTTTTTGTTTTAATTGGTTACTTCTAGAAATCATTAATTTTTTATTTTATTTTGTCAAAACATTATCTTGATTTTTTAAAAGTTGCCATTTTTCTTCTCGGACATTCTCAAATTTTTTCCTCGTCTGTTGCTTATCTATTCTGCCGTGTATCCCTTTGCTCATTATGTAATTTGCAGTTTATTTTCGCATTAATTGATCGATGATCTATTTTTCTCAATTGTGTCATTTATGTCCATGGTCCTAAAAGTATACAAGAACAATACCAATGGTCAAATACTCAATATATTTTAATAATTTTAGAAGTACACGGGTCTTAAGATATTTTATGGTATCGGGATTGTTTTTGTTTTTGGATCATTAGATTAAGATCCAAATCTGCATTTTTAACTTTTAACAGCTATGGGGGAAGCGTTTGATGTACTGCCGAGCCCAATTTTAGTGAAAATTATTTTAAATGTGACATCTACTGAATATTACTTTTAATTTATGGTTGCAATCAATGTTATAAAAATTGGACTGGACCGGCCGGTTTGACCGGAACCATTCCGAAATGCAGTCGGTGCAATGTAAAAAGCTGAAAATCGAGAATTTGTGAAAGGATTCAAGTTTTGGTTGTGCTCCGTAGTTCATTGAGATGGTTGCACAAAAGACTTTGACAGTGTTATTCAGATTTAAGAGTTGATGTGATATTCAATTCATTATTGGTGAATAATTCTTTTCTTTTTTGAAGGCATTCATTGATTTTGAGGATTCCTAGAGTTCATTAGGGAGGACTAACTTCAACTTGCCAGAAAAAGAAGGAAATTAAAATGGCAACTGAATAGGACATTCTAGACAACAATTACTACTTATTAAGGACCTGCATTTATACAGATATTTTTGGTCTGGATTCTTTTTCTTTCTTGTTGCCCAGGTATTTCCCAGGCGCTGTTGATTGTTCATATTTATGTGATCTAAGGAGTTTCTTGTATTTTATATCAACTCAGTACTGCTAAAACATCGGCAGTAACTAAATTTCCATGTCCTATAATTTCTTGCTGTTCCAAGAAATTAATCATAAGGCAATATTGTTTTTTATTTATAAAAATATAGTAGATTTTAAATGTTTTCCTCGCTGCTGAAGGAAGCAGGAAGCTGTATAACCTTGTATAATAATAATGCCATTGAAATCCAAATCGTGTTTCTTGAAAAAATAAATAAATAATTGAAGCTCTAACCGGCATGTTATCTCATCTTTTACAAAATAAAATATTTTCCTTGTAGAGCACTGATATAAGGTGGGTGTCATTTTTTTGATGGTATAAATATCAGTATTTCATTCTATGCAGATTTTAGGCCACGTGCATAACTAGTGTAGTTTTTCTGCCTCAGTAGTTTATATAAACAACTGGGAAAATTGCACTATTGTTCTCCAACCTTTTGCTTGAACAGTGGCCATCAATCCCCTGTGCTGAAAACCGTCCAAGTCAACTTAAATAATCACATATTCCTTGCATGTCCAACTTTATGACGCTAGACTTAGTTTTCAAATTGATAAGGTGCCTAGAAATTTGAAGTGAAGTGAAGTGAAGTGTGTTTCCGTGAGCACCATGTGAGAATTTATCCGAGATTTAGACAGTCTCACTCGGAACTAATTGTGCCACTAAAATAAAAGGTTATGGACCAACGTGCTAATTGGGCAACAGGTTGCGGACACAAATATGCAATTTTCCCAATATGTTAGCATAATTATTTGAGTATGTCTTTTAAATCAATGCAGGTTTTTGACCAGTGTGGAACTTGCAAATTAACTTTGAATGAAGCTCATAAGATACCGATTCGGCGTTCTTTTCGAACCACATCTTGGAACCCATTCAAGAGACTTATATTCCATGCTGGGATGTGCTACAGGTTAAAGTTTTTGAAATATGACATGAAACCCAACCAATTTCAAAAATTGAATTTGTCCCTGTACAATTGAGGGAAGTAATGAAAATTTTGAATGATGTAAAATGGCTTTATGCCTATGTTATTTGCTATATCTTGTTTGGGTGACCAGTTTTGAATGTCAAGATGGATAATCTGACATTTTGAGGAAGTTTATATTGTTTTTTTGTAGTGTTAAGTCCTACCCTATTTTGTACTAAGCTTGCACATGGAGTATTATTACTTATTAGACAGGGATTTTAAATGTAAATGGTCACCTTGACATTGCCTACTTTAATTCTACATCACCACCTTTGACATTGTCCATATCACCATGAATTGGAGAAGAAATGTCCATTTTAGTGATGTGGAGTAACATTTTTCACATTTCACATTTGCATTGGAGGAGATGCTCTTACGAGCATAGCTATTAAATTCACAGACCGGATCCTGAAAAGGTATAATGATTCAAATAGCATGCAAAATTCTGATTCGGATTAGTTGAAGATCACCCCAGGATTGTATGGAATCGAACTAGGATCGCATTACGCTAGCTACAAGATGTATTACTATTGCAATTGATATGAATTAACAACATAAAAGGAGGATGCAGTTCGTCCACAACCAGGAAAATGGTTGGACGTTCTTGATTGATTTGCATGAAGAGAAGCTCGGAAAGATAACTTAACTCAGAAATTTTCAATGTTATGCCTGAATTGTTATTTTAACAACAAAAATCTCCTTGTAGACCTTTATAAAGTAAGTGAAAATTTATATTTATTTTTTATTGTTTGTTTTAGTTGGTTATTGACTTATGGTTGTTAATTTTATTTTTTATGTTTTAATATTTTAAATCATTAACTTCTAGGATCTTATAAGACTTTATATGGTTCAACTATTCAATTTGCCAGACCTATCTATCGATCCTATCCAAATCTATTAGGCGTCAATTTATTTCCTTTTCAGCTTAGCCGAATAGGAAATAGTGCGTTTTTTCTTCACTTTATTGGTGCAACGGTATGCTTACACTTGGTCGATGGAACTGCACCACTGAATTAAATCTTGCAATAAGAATTCAATAATGGATTTAAAATAGAGCTCTCTCTCTCTTCCGAAAGGAGCTTAGCATATAATTTTACACTACAAGTAATCAGTCCCAACTTCTGCAAAATCTCTCCTTCAAACCTACACTATGGCAGGATCTTCCAATCTTCCCTGTTGCTAACAAAAAGCTGATGGTAATTGAAAAATAAGTTCTAATTTTGTTCTTTAGGCTGTTGTACCGGACATGTGCTTAATGTCCCATGTTATCGACTTAGAGATGAGCTTTCCATGAAGAGGATATGTCAGCCACGGCTTCTCCAACCGTTAGATATAGCCCTTCAGATTTAAAGGAGTCCAAGATATTTGATTGATGCAGCTTTTCCATTACACTTCCAATGGGATTTACCAGCACAAGCTACATGAAAATGGTGCTCGAGTTACTCAACTGGACGTCAAAATTTACATGGAAACACGGTTTTCTGATGGCTTACCTTGAGTGATCGTTTCTCCAACATCTTTCTGAGTTCAGATATTGTATCAATACCGCTTGTATCTATTGCTGTCACCGCTGATTAAGAAAGACAAAGTTATCAGCCTATAGCCAAGGTTCGGATAATTGCAGGTGTAATTGAACAGAAAACTTGTGTTCTCTTACAAATTTTCTTGACTAACCTGTCATATCCAAAATAATACATTTCATATTACTGTCCTTGTTGGTTTCTATCCACTGTTCCTCCTCTCTTATCCATCTTAATATCCTGTGAAAAAGGATTATTCACTTCATTAGATATCTGGATTAAGCAGATGATCAGACGCGCAAAAAAATTGAGTTTTGCTAACCTTTCTTGTAGGTACATGGAATTTGCAAAATACATAGGAGATTCTATAGCTAGTATGAAAAACGAGGGGACCCGAACAGTTTCTTTGTATCTGCTAAGGTTCTGATATATTTGAGTTCCGGGAATGTTGCCCAGGACAACTGTATTTGGCCTTGTAACATGCAAGAGAACCTTTAAAACCGAAACTCCAACCTGTATAAGAGTTACTTTCAAAATAAATATCTTTTTTCAACATTAAAGTTAGAAAGGAGAAATTTATCCGTACATGTTCTTATTTAAAGTTAGACAAACATGCGATATTTGGCATGCTGAACTGGACAACATTGGATAGATGAACACCTTAAGCTTTACAAGGAGATAAGAAGTAAGGCTTACTGCTATAGCAAGACCAAGAGGCACTGAGATGAAGAGAACACCAAGAAAGGAACTTATGCAAGCCAAGAAATCTAGTTTGTCGACTTTCCAGAGTCGTATTGCAGCCTGATAATCGATTAGGCCGATCACAGCAGAAATGATAATCGCTGCAAGAATGAGATTGGGAGTGTAATAGAACAGGGGCATGAGAAACAACAAAGTCACAAGCACGGTTGTCGCCAGTATTATATTTGACACCATAGTTTGTGCTCCAGCGTTATAATTTACAGCAGATCGAGAAAATGATCCTGTAAAGACAAATCGAGCCAATATCAAAATGCCATTTATATATGAAGAGTTCGGGAAGAAAAGGAAGTTGAAAATAAAGGAATCGTTACCTGTCGTGACATAACATGAAGAACATGAACCGGCCATATTCATCAGACCTATTGCCATCATTTCTTTGTTCCCATCTACTTGGTAGTTCTTCAAAGCCGCAAATGTTCTGCCCACTGCAATTCCTTCCTGCAGCACGAGTTATTACACGTTAGACTCTGTAGAGCCTAATTATATAGTTAAGTACGCTTAGATTTTATTAACAACTTACTGTGAGAGACAATATTCCGGTAACAATGCCAGTTTTGATTGCAAGACCGAGATAAGGGCCGTGCAAATATAGCATGTTGGACGATGGTGGATTCAGACCCTTAGGCAAGTGCCCAATCTGTAGAAATATACATAACCAGTTATTTCAAGAATTAGTCTGTGCAAATATATAGGCTAATCAATGAACAATACTAAGTCGATGAACATTTCTTACAGTTTTAATATCGTGAACTCTGGATTTAAGGAAGACGACTAGAATTGTTGATAAGATAACTGATGCTAATGGGGAAGCTGCTGAAATCCAGAATAGTTTTGGTCTTCTCATGCTCTGCAGTCATTATTAATATTTTAATTGTCATTGATCTATACGAACGGTTAGGATATTTCTCTAGAGATGAAGAACACGACGTACGATTTTCCTTGTTGTCAATAAGAAGAGCAGAAAACAAACTCCCATAACTATGGTTTGCCAAGACCACTGCTCAACATGTAAATCAATGATCAGTTTTTGATAAACATGTTTGACTATGCTTAAAAGTTACTTTTAAGTACTTTTTCTAAGACTCTCGGGTAGAATCTACCTCGTTTCTTTGATGGAAAACTGAGGACAACACGGGAACAAGTTGCATCTTGCTCGTAAAATGGACTATCCCAAGTAGCCCTTTCAGTTGTTGCAATGAAACAATAACTGCTGCACCAGCCATGAAGCCTAGTAGTGTTGCCTTCGACAGAAAATCGATAACAAATCCTAACCTGGAAATCACATAATTCATGTCAACAACGAATCGTACGGACACGAATACTTCATTCTAAATATTACGTTGTTTTTATTGAATTTTATACAAGAATCCTTCTTGATATTATTCTGTCTAATATTTATTTTAGGTGTGTACGGCATAGCATTCTTAGCAAGCTTTTGTTAGTGCGCACTGTTAATGATTCTTGGAAAATACTTTTCCAAAAGATGTTTCCATTTTGTAAAGTTGTAAGCAATAATGTTATGAGTAATTCTTTTATAAAATAATTAGGTGCAAAATAAAGTATAGACTAATTTTATTTTTTATTTAAAAAAAAAAAAAAACTTTACTAAAAGTGTAATGGAAGTTTGAAAATGAATTTACTCGTTCGTGAATTGGATTATGAATTGATCATAATTGAGTACCTTAAGAAACCTAGTGAAGCTTGGAATAATCCAGCAAAAAGAGTAGCAGTGAAAGCCAGCTGAAGATAAAGAATTGGTTCTTCAGTAGAAGAAACTGTCTCACTAAGCATTGTGCCCATAACAAGAGAAGCTATGGAGACAGGACCAACAGCTAGGTGTCTTGAACTCCCAAGAACAGAGTATATCAAAGGTGGTACAAAACTGGAGTCTGCATAAGAACCAATTCTTTGTAAGACGACGAATTTTACGTTCATGTTCGGTACACAATATCGAACAAGAAGATAGTGTAATGAACATGATTTGCTTGTTTTTCTTTTTTAATATACTCGATAGGACTAGATAGTACACTAAACAAGATTTTATTTAGTTTTTTTATTTAATACTATCTAAAACTATTGTATCTTTTCAACGAAATATATCATGAATGAATATATTTGTCTCATCTCTAATAGCTTTACAAGCTTTTAGGTTTCGAATTCAAGTCTCATCATCATTCATTTACGAAAACTAGTAAAACAAATTTAATCGAATTGGAGGCGGATTTGGGGTCTGGGCCAGCCTCTAGCCCAACTTTACTTTTCTTCTATTAAAAAAAAAAATTATGTGAAAATAAATTTTATGTGAGATTTTTTTAATATTAACCCAACATAATTTTTTTTAGTCTAGTTCTTATATGATTTTAAATGGATAATTTTGTCGCATTTCTAACAAATTAAGCTTTCAAATTAATCGGCATGAACTAACAAATATGTGAACTCAACAACGTGTGAGAAAGGTTTGATTATTGAGACTGACTTACATAGACCGATTATAGGAGGCAAATTCGCAAGCTTTGCATAACTAATCCCCTGCATCAATGAGAAAAACAGTCATTAAGAGTTCAAAGAAAACTAGAAAAAAAATTGTACGTGAAACGACGATAAATAAAGCCTCATTCTCGATATATTTGGGGTCGACAGTATGATTTTATTCTTATATATGAATCTATAATTAAACTTTGTATCAAAAGTGTCCTTACGAATTAAGATCATAAAACTAACACTAACACACAATGCTAAGACCGTAGAGGGCATGTTTGGCAAGCAGCATTCAACCAAACCGAACAATGTCCTATCCACCAACTCTCCACCAAACAAGAGAGTAAAGTTGAGGATGGTAAGATTTACCTGTGGGATTGCAAGGCTTGCAATTGTAAGCCCAGAAACGACATCAGATCTCAAAAGCTTGACATTATAATTAGTTGCCCACTGGAAAATTGGGAAGAAATACTGAAGTCCAAAAAGTAATTTTCTAAACCATGTTTGGTTCTTAAATCCGTGAAGTGGAT